CCTAACACTCTATGAGATTAGCAATACTGTAAAATAACTCTAAGACTTTAGCCATATGGGCATTTATTCTTGTGGTAAACTTAACAGTATAGTATATATCCTATACATGCACTCACCTGTGTGTTCAGTAATTTTCTCCAACTAGTACCTGTTGTGCTGCTGCTACTGGGTTCATATCTCAAGCTATCTTTTCAGATACTGCTATAATGCAATTCGTATCTCAAGCCACAACAGGGCCTCTAAATATATGCATTGAAGCCTTATTGTATGAAAGTACAAATTTAAGAGAAAAGTTCGATTAATATACAAATATAGAAATTTGGCTAAAGCTAGAAGTACAGATTTTAATAACTAGTTTTATAATATTTTTATTCTTTGCATACAGATTTGTATTAAATTTTACTATTTCATACAGATTTGTGATAAATATTTACCTCTATATACAGATTTGCAATAAATATTTATCTTCATATACAGATTTGTTTAAGAGGTTTTATTAATTATTAATAAAATATAATAATAATGATAGTTTTTTTTTTGAATAATGATAATGAATTCCAATAAACAAGATAAAAATAAAAGTACTTTACAACAAAAACAGCTTGATTATTTTGAAATAACAAGCAATATTGTTCAAGAAAATATTATTCATCACTTATCAGTAACAGATCAAAATAAAAGTTTATCGGCTAAAAGAATTCAAAATGAGGATATAAAATCAAAAATAGCAAAAATTCTTCAGCAATTTGATGGTTTATCAGGACAATCTTTATTAAGAAAAATTTTGGAAGATAAATTATATACTTTGTATAATGATAATAAACATGTTTATTGTCATAGTTGTCAAAAGCCAATAACTCTACACCACTTTAATGATAGAACTAGATTAAAAGAACATATTATTAAAAAATGCATACTATCTTTTTAATAATATTTTTTAATAATAATAATATGCTATCAGTTATTGATTTAACTAAATCAAACAAAGAACTTAATAACTTAGCTACGGTTACGGTTAATAATAATAGAATTGAACAGCATGGTTTGGATTTATTTATTTTAAATATTAAATTTTATTTATATAAGTTTAATTTTATATTTTATTTTATATTATTGTAGTTTGTAATAGATTCTTTAGAGCAAATTATGCTATTTTTGCAAAATATAGTACTTCAATTCTTAATGAAAAAAACAAAGTTCAATACACAATTTTTCAAAATGATAATTTGTTTGATAGATTAGATCATGCAGAGGGTTACTTTAAAAGTGCAAAATGCCTTGAATATTGTTTAAATAAATAGTATTATAAATGTGGCCTTTTATCAAAAAATGAAGAATTTAACAAAAGAAACCATGAATATCAGGAGTTACTTGCTTGAATTGATTGTGCTATAATCTTAAATATAGAAGGAGAATTAACTAGTTCAATTCGTTGTAAATATAGTCATATATCTAATTTTGATAAATGGATTAATTATTCTTTTAAAGAACTTGATAAACATATAAAAAATCAAGAAAATCATTCTAAAAAATATCGTTTTGATAATCTTGATAAGTTACTCAAATACTACAAAAAAGAAATTCTTGATTCTAAATATTGGCAACTAGTTAAAGAATATCCTATATTAGGAGGTCTTTTGGAAGCAGTAGAAGAACATGGAATTGAAGATTAGATAGCAAAATATATCCAATATATAGTAAATAAAACTATGGATGAAAAATAACCTATATTTATTGAAATGGCACAAGCAGTTACAAAAGTTTTAGATAAAATGGAATGCAATATTACTACTATGCGTGGAATTCAATATAATGAGACTTTTGTTGATTTTCTTGTAGTATTTATCTCAATTAGTACTCTTGCTATACAATGGATTATATTAAATCTTGCAGGGCTAACAATAAGATTTCTTCAACAAGTAAGAAATAAAAGTGATAATTCTTTTGATCTGTTAGAAATTAATTTCTTAAATTTTCCTGAATTAATTAATAAATGGCAATGTGTATATAATTATTTGGGACCAATTATATGTGCAAAAGATCAAACTAAAATCGCTGAAATGATTGAAGTAGATCGGCATCAAAATCGATTTGTTAGATATATACAAATACAACAAACTTCTATTTCTCATTCAATAACAATTGATAAACTTCAACAAAAATTAATAATTCTAAAAAAGGCTACTTATATAACAGTTTTTGCAATTTCAGCAGTTATACCAGGA